TGTTTTATGAATACTAACTAAAATAAATCAATGCATATTACAATATGTTAAAAAATAAATGTTGTTTTAATATTATTTAGTTTATTGTCACTTCATTTGATAACAGAAGTACGTTATTTTCTATTTAAACTGTCTCATTCACAAAAAACAAATTTTATATGTATGCATGTTAATAATATGTTTTTATTTGATTAATGTATATGTATGTATGTATTTACATATAAATATATATATTACAATGTATTCACTTTGAATTTTGCATATTTTGCTATAAGTCACGTTATCATCTCCATCATAATTCATGCAGTACCACATCATGTTTGCAACTATAATAAATATTCAAAGTCTATCAACCGCAAAACTTATGAAATATTGAAAGAAAACTACTATTCGAATAGTCGAATCTGTCAAGTAGTCGAATGAAAACAACTAGTCGATTATGAACGATTAGTCGAAAGTGAACGGTTAATCGTTTAATGGTATTCGATTATTTTTTGAAACCACTTTTTTCCGATTAATCGGTTAGTCGATTAACAAGAGCTCTAGCACACATCGATTAACTCCACTTTTTGAAAAATCCTAAATATAAGTGTCAAAGCACTTGGTATAGTCATAACTTATTACGTTTGTAATAACTTTATATAACATACAATAGTACATAATATTTATAACAACAATATTTATTTGATTTTATAATATAAATAGAATTTTAGAAAATAATGTATATTATTTGATCGCATCTCCCAACTTTTTGTTGATGGAGTTAATCAATTTGTGCTCATGTATCAGAATTTCGTTGTATTATTGATGTGTATACATCTTTGGTTTTGGTAGGAGTACAATTTGCGAAGATGTAACGCATAGCCCAACAAAAAATTTCGAAGGGCTAGACAGAGATGAACACATGGTGTTTGTCTCAGTGGGTGAATTTGGTGGAGCGACTTGGGAACCACTTGGGGTAGGAGAGGCCCAATTTGTAAGCAGTTTAGGTCCAGTTGGTAACTAGTCGTTCGGGACCAGTTGGTATCCAGTCTGATCCCAGTCAGGGACCAGTTGGTACTCAGTTTTGCCTAGACTGAAACTAATTTCTTTCGTACCGTTTGGGGACCAGTTGGTAGATTTGAGCTCCAATGGCCGTTTCGAGGCGTTTGAAAGCCTTTTAAGGTGTTTTTAACGTGTTTTGGGACGCTGGGAGTGCCGAATTTTTGGGTAGCGGTCGCCCTTCGGCAGGAAACGGCAAACCTCCGAGTGAATTTCTGCATGAAAAACAGCTTCTGATAAAAATACAATCACCGTTTGGAGTCGGTGCACGCCACAAATCGGAGGAGGAGTTCGGCCAAGCACTAACATATCGAGCCCTAACCGCCAAAATAACGTAAGCGCCATTTTTTTTATTTTTTTTTTGATGCAGAAATACCTCTAGATGCCCTAGGAATATTTCTGCATCGAAAATAAAATTTTGAAAAAATTACGCTTACGTTATTTTGGCGGTTAGGGCTCGATATGTGTAAGCACCAATCTATTAATATCGTTGAATTATTTTAATATCTAGTGCTAAATTTCATACAGACAAGACTAAAACGTAGAGAATAAATAGGATAAAAAAGTTTTTTAAATACCACGCTTTTATAAATGGACTAAAAAGTAGAAATAAATAATTTCTCAGTCCCATAGAATTAGTTTTAATAACTTTTGATTTTGAACTTGTAGCAAAAGCCATTATAAACAATTTCCGAGATTGAAAATGAAAAGCGTGGGGCGCATGTAATAGACTTGAATTGAAATGAAAAGTAATATATGTATGTACATGGGTATATGAATATCGATCGCTTAAAATCGATCTCAAATTTGTACTTGTGCTGTAGAAATTTTAGGTCTATGTTATGTAGTTTGACTATTGTCAAAATAAATTTAATGCATTGTATTGCATGCGCTCCACGTTTTCCATTTTCAATCTCATAAATTGTTTAAAATGACGTTTGCTAAAATTTCAAAATCAAAAGATATCAAAACAAAATCTATGGGACTGCAAAATATTATTTTCTGCTTTAGAGTCCATTTATAAAAGCGTGGTATATTAAAAAGTTTTTTTATTTTATTTATTTTAACGTAATGACACGATTATTTTTTAATGCCCAATTTTGTCATTTGTCATTTTTGCAATTTGCATTAAAGCTTAGAATCTAGCTCTCAAGAAAAATCACAAGAAATATTTTTTACTATTTCTGCTGCTTGAAAAAGCGTTTTGCTTTTAAGTGTACATTTTCTTGAAGAAATAAATGTACGCCGTTTTTTTCTTGAGATGTGCAAACTGATTTAAGAAACTTTGATAGAAGAAAATTTCTCTTAAAACTTTAACTGCGAATGAAAACATTGTTCTAAAAATATGCAATGCGTACTCACTTATGGTGATTTCGCTTCTACCAAAAAATTCCGCCTTTTGATTGCCTCTATCTCTTTCTTTTTTTCAGAAAAGAAGCATTTACATATGAGTCAAAATTCCTGAAGTGGGCAAGTCGATTGACCGTGTATGTTCTCGTGGTGTGATTGTACCTGCTGGTGCGACCATAAAAACTATTTGAAAATTTTATGATTGCACCAGCATGCTGGTGTCGTGAGTTGTGAAATGAGCTAAATATTCTAAGTAAAAAGTATTTTGGCGGAAATTTCTTGCACTATATGAGTCAACGCCGTGGTTGTGGAAGATTAAGTTCACGATATTGCAGTTCTGAAGTAAAAAAAAAAAACAATGTTTAACAAAATGGTAGAAAAATTATGAAATTTCGACTCTAATCATTGCGATCTTTCCTCGACCTCATTTGTAAAGAAATAAATATTGTACCAGCATGCTGGTAAGTTATATGCTTCGAGCCTGATGGTACAATCACTTGATGGAGCCAGCAAGCTGGTGTCGTATATTTCCCCTTTTATACAAAAAGGTTTTTGGTTGCATAAAATACTAGCTTTTTTTCCAGAGTTCATTGTTTTTCTATACCATTACTTATTGAAAATGTTTGCGTGTATACTTATATATGTATATGTAAGTAAAAAATTTTAGCTACCATTTTTAGCTACAACGACATTTTTTAGCTCATTTTTAGACCTTTTTTTAAAGGAATTTGGCTACCACTAAAAATTATTCGCGGCAACACTGACATTCATATATATCATAAATTCTACAAAAAGATTTAAAAAAAATCATAAATATCTCGACCAGTGATAATTAAGTGGTCCACTTCAGGAATTTTGACTCATATGGAATACATATCGTGTACTTAACTGGGCTCCTTACTGTTTTGTTTTTGAGCTTTACATCCAAAAATTACTTGTTGTATTAATTTCTTGGACATATCAAACATGTCACCTATAAATAAATTATTTTCTTCATACTTTTTACAGTACAGTTTAAAGAAGTTCCAACGTTATGTAAAAACCTTAAGAAAATCTTAAAATATATTTTGAATTGAAAATTCAGTACAAATCAGTACAAATTTTGAAAAATCAGGACATTAGCATACTGAGTGAACAAATGAATGAAATCAGTACAAGAGTTGAAAAATCAGTACTGTACTGATAAAATCAGTACGTCTGGCAACCGTAGGACGGCCCTTGAGGTACCATCTTTTCGATAAAAAAAGAATTACTGAAATCGGTTCACGTGGTCCCAAAAAGAAAAAATATTTCGAATTATTGAGATCGGTTCACGTGGTCTAAAGTTATGCGGTAGCACACATAAAAAAAGAAAAAATATTCCGACGAATACATAGCCTCCCCCTTTTCTTGAAGTCAGTTAAAAATTTTTAAATTCTTTTTTAATTTTAGGTAAATAAAGTACAATTTATGAAACTTTAAAAAGTTTATTTATTTATTACATACTGTACATGAAACTT